TAAGCCAATGCTTAATTAAGGAATAAGCAGTTATTTGGCAGCAAGAAACTTGTGGAGTTCACAGGCTGGTTTACGTACTGGACTCCATGTGTGGTTGCTGTAATAAACCACAAGAATTCTTTTTTGAGGTCCAGACTCACTGTCGGCTTAAATGACCACAGACGTGTTGAAGTAGCTGAAATGATGTTGTTTTTACCAGTAATTAAATTGGGCTTGAAACCACTGAAAAAATCTTCAGGATCATGAGCTTTATTTCAAGGTCACAAATGGAGCAAAACTGCACATCCCAGCTGAACATGTTTCTTTGACCTGCTCTGATTCTGTCCCCCTGTTCTTCTTAAATAACCACTGTTATGCAAGCTGAGCTGCTCTGGAGTAATAAATTATAAATGCTGTGCTTCAGCCTGGTTATTGGGATGTGACTGTATAGATAATTTCATGTAGTTTTCACAGATGACTGTGGAACAAAGCACAGGCAGCGGCTCAAAATCGCCCATTTCTCCATAAACTCTTGCGGGCAGGAGGAAGGTAACGCCAGTTACCCTTTCTTTGAAGGCCAAGGCAGGATGCAGAGCAATAGAACCTCTGGCTGTGTGAAAAGAGCTGCCCTCTCTAGGTGGAAATGGGACAGCGGACACCTGCTGCAGCCTCTGAGGAGAGCAGCCCGCGGGGCATCAGCAGGTAAGGCTCCCCAGGTAACACCCGGAAAGCCTGCTTGTTCCCCAGTCCCGAACCTCAAAACGATGTTGTTCCTATTGACACAACAGCGGGGTGTGGGGAGGAGGAGGCTGGCTGCTGGAGGGCTCGTGCTGGAAACACAGAGGTTGCAAAGCTGCTGGGAAAACGTGTTTGATACTCAGATTTTTGTAGCCTGGGGTCTAACCTGACAGCAGAGCAGCTGGATTAATGGGACCAAAAGGGACTGATGCTTTGGGTGATGTGCTCTGAGACTGGGAAAAGGGGAAACCCGCAAAATGTGATGGAGACAGTCCTGCAAGTTAAACCTGGGGTGGGTTCCGTGGTTCTGCAGGGAACGGTGGGGCTCTGATTTCAGCTGCAGTGGGGCTGTGCCGCCCCGTGGGGTCTCCTGAACTGAAGCTGCCCGTGCGTCCGCTCTCAGCCAATCTTTGCTTTTGTTAAGCGTTTCTCAATATGCTGATAGCAATGCTTTTGTTAAAATAAACCAGCGATTTAATTCTTGGTTTAACTTCTAACTTAGTCCAGCGAAGTTTTCAGTATTACAGGGACATTACAGGTCCCATTAAGCAAAGCAAAATAAGCTTTAGCCTGAACATTAGTCTAGCCACAGTGAGTTACCACATAAAGGTGTAGTTCTTAAATGTACCCAGCTCTTCCACTTGATCCATGTTTCAGCACAGTACTGCACCACAGATTCAACAAACATCGATCATTTTAAATGGACAGCTATGTACAAAACTATGATACAATGTTATTACAAAACTTGAGAAATAAAGCTCTGAATTTTGAAAACACAATACTGCACATTCCCAGTTTTAAAAGCAAAAGTAACATGAAACTACACGTTCTGCAGCTGGAACACAAAGACTTCTGAGTGCAAGCAGCTGACAACGGCGTTCAAGCCCAGAGATTTACTAAAGGATGAGCTGAAAATGTGTCCAGTAGAGCACTCTGGAAAACATCTTTCTCGTGCTTTAATAACAGGAACTGGGGCCCTGGTTCTCCGAAAGTTGATGGATGCGTCTGTGCATGTGAGAAGACTACTGCAAGACTACTGTTGAGTTTCAATGGAATTGCACATAAAAGCATCATGTAGGAACCAGACGCTATTTATATGGCCATATGCTTACTTAAATGCATGCTTTTTTTTTTTTTTTAGCATTTTTCTCCCCCGCTGTAACCGATTTCCCTTGCTTTAAATGATTGAGATTAAAAATACATTTGTCTGATCTGGGCCTTGGACCTGGTCTGATATAAATCCTCAGTGGGCGATGAAAAGAGGGAGTAACATGCTTCCACCTGTGATGGTAGAGCCACTGCTTAATTTATACCCTTAATGTAGTTGAGGCACTGCTATTTTTAAATTTTCTCTAAGGGCTAAACACTGCGGCCCTTTCTTGGGCCACACTCAGCTGTCGTTTCAAGAGGAGTTTGGCCTAAGAGCAGGTTGAAAGACTTGGCTTTGAGGACAGCGGGCGAGAGGTCTGACCCTTGCACGCTGCCAGGTGCAGAACCGGCGCCCGGCCCCATGGGCCCCCAGCCTAAGGCATGGGCCGAGGGGCCCGAAGGCTCCGGGGAGGCTCTTTGGGTCTTGGGAAGGGGAGTGAAAGGCTGCGCGAGGAGAAGCGGCGTGTCCTGGCGGGGCAGAGGTGACCACGGTGGTGTTTTGGTGATGCGGAACCTGGCTTCTGAGAAGCTGGCAGCACTCTGGGGACGCGTGAGTGGTTCACTGGGTCTCTGTTATTTCTTCTGCCTTGCCATAACGCCTGCAGGAGGAGGGGGAAATGCAAATTATTTGCAGCTACAAAACAAAAGCGGTGTTTTTGCATGTGTGTGTATCTAACGGTTGGGGTGCTACTAGGGAAATGAAGTTTGTCTGGATTCTCTAGGGTCTAAGACAAGGGAACTCAGCATCTCCCCTGAGTCCAGGCATTTGTACCATCCTCCTCTGTTTGACTGTCAGCTGTTGTTAAATGGCCCTTCTGCAAGCTCTTTTCAGATTTGGTTGGAAATGAGTTCAGATGTTACCAGCACACATATCAACACAGCATGACCATCGGTGCCTTGATTCCATGGGAAAACAGGCTTAACCATTTCTTTCAGGAACAGGGAGATAGCATAGGATGCCACTCTTTGAGTGTAAAAGCTGACATTTAAAGAACATTAACATTAATACAGAAATTGCTGCATAACAAGATATAGTCAAGGTGAGGCAAGAGCTCTGTAGCTGATTACAACAGTCTTCTACTGCTCTGAAATATTACTTCATAGAGTCACAGGCTGTTCCTGCCCTTACTCTGCTGCTGTTAGAGAAGTTCTAAAAACTGATAAGGGGATCAAATCTTGATCCCTGCAACTGGATCTGCAGAAGAAGGAAGAAGATTCCTGTGGCTTCACTGAAACCAGCAACTTCCACATCCAGCACATCCACCAGAGAGAGAAATAATCCTGTACCAAAAGAGAACTGGTGCTGTGACCTGAACAGACCACATGCACTTGGGACAATAAAAGAGAAAAAAAATGAGGTGGTACATCCAAGGAAAAAATACTGATGGGGAGCTTGCTGAGTCTGGCACATCAAGAGGGACAGACTCGAGCTGCATTTGGGCGAGGAAGCACTATGGCTGGACACTAAGAGAAGCAAATGGATTTTTGTTTCCTCTAACCTTTCCAAATGACATAAAGATGGCAGCAGAGGAAAAAGGGAACTGCAGGTTTCAAGGTGCAGCTCACCTCTGCCCTGTGCCAGGCACTGCGTTTCAAGGATGTGCTGAAACTCCTGCCTGACTCGGTCACTTCATAAAGGTACTGTTTGTCCATGCATTCCTCTCTATTGCTTTCCTATGTTTTCTAAGGGGAATTCAAAGCTGTCTGTGTCTCTATTTTTTTCAAATATGAATTTTTTTAAGCCTGCATGCTTAAAACATACATAATCCAAGTTACACTTAACTCACGGTTTCAGCTGCCCTCCCTGTGCAGCACGGCCACTGGTCCTGACATATTTCTTACCTGTGCCTCGCTGCTGCTATTTTCTGCTCTTGCTGCAAATCTTCCTTAGGATTTTTAAACCAACAGAGCTACTTCCCTTTTCCACTTGATGTGGTATGGCATGGAAAGGGCCAGGAGGAGGGCAGGAGTAGTCTGAACTGTAACTATCCACTTTATAGCTTATTCTCTCTTGCTAGCAATGATGCTTCAGGTGCTGGAACAAAAGCAACCCTGTGTTGAAATCTTGCAGAGATTCCTCTGCTCTACCACCCCAGGGGCCAGGAAGGGACTGCTCTGGGCCAGGCTCCCAGCCCCAGGCACTGGGGATGCTGGAGAAATAAATACATTCCTTTCAGGAAATGAGATAGAGAGAGATTTGACATTATTGATTCAGTTCATAGGAGATGCTCATCAGCATGGGAAGGTCAACGCATAACTATGCAATTTCAGTACAGTGGGTGTTTCGGCTGTTTCTTTTTCTTGTTTTTCTTTCCATTTGCTGTAAAAACAGGCAAAGTTTTGCAAATGAAAGTCTCATCCTGAAACTCCTTAAGTTTTCTTTTGAGGGGCAACTGTATGTTGCCAGCATCAATGAAAGATGCAGGAAACCTGGTATACAGTTTCACTAGAAATTGGGTTTAGCTGTATTATTTTGGGGGGAGGGGCAAAAGCCAAATTATACCCCACCCCCATCCCAGAAAGCTGCATGAATGCACGTAAGAAGTATGCACAGTCTGTTTGCTCTCCAACGGATTACTTTGTGTGCAACTCTAGAACAGAATTTGGCTTTGAGTTGGAGCTGGTACCTTGCCCCAACTAGTACTTCTCCCCTGGGTCCAGTGTTTTATCCCCTCTTCCAGATATCTGTATTTAAATGGTGCTATAGGAAGTGGCTACCCACAAGCAAAGCAAGCATTGTTCTTCGCAGGAGATAGGTACTGAAATTGCATTTTTACAGTTTTTGAGAAAATAATGGGATCAAAGCAAGGACTTTGTTTATCACATGAAGCTGGATTCACTTGGTTAGAATAAAGGCTTTTAATTATCTGCAGGGAAAGGCAGTTTGGCTGCTGACACAGAGGGCAGACATGTGGGTTGTGACCCTGTGTCAAGGGGAGATCAGCACTGACTCCACTCAACGCAAGATCAATACCCTGGAGAGTAAAAATCAGAGCAACAAATTTATTTTACATGTATTTGTGATTAGACACAAAGACAAAAAGCTTAGCTGGTATGATGAATACTGATTAGGTCTGTAAAGTCCCAATGCTGTGGTTAGTTCACATAAAAACACCTTTGTGAGTTTACGTACCTCATTGTACCACACAACCTTTTTTTGTTTTATTATCTCCAGTATCAGTCTCAACCTCTGCTTTTAAACAAAAGAGAGACACTAAATATATCTGATCATGGCAAGGCATAGGTAACAACAGGGAACATTTTACAATGAAAACTTTGTCTAGTAGTAGAGAGGTTCCTGAGATGCCATCCCTGGATGCCCAGGGAGCCCTGTGGCTTTTGGGGGATCAGTTCCTTAAGCCAGAAATACTAATTTCAGATGTCAGGAAAGCATCGCCACAGCTGGGAGCATGACGTGCTCCCATTGCTGCAGCTCCTCCTGCTGCCTCCTTGGGAAGCAAGTTTTGGAACCGCTGCTCCAGGAAACCATTTCTGGTATGAGGCTTGTTTTTTCACTAGGGGAAAGAGGCACATTTAGAAACATAAATAACTACAGTCCCAGGGCATGCTGGCAGTACAAGGTTAAGTCCCTCTGTGGTAGATGCTCAACCCACGCTGTCTTTCTCAGCAGTGGGTATTTAAACCCTCCTTTCCTTTCTCCTCCAGCTTTCTTGGAAGGAAAAACATAAAACATTGATGAAAAGAGACTTCCACCACTTTTCTGCCCATTTTGTTGACTCCAGGACCTTGCAGAAAATAGGCTTTGGACAGTATATTGCATCTTTCTAAAGGCTGACAGATTCATATGTCTTCCCTAGGAGTCACCTCTACCTAATGTGGGATTAATGTACCCACCCAAGGGTAGCTTCAGCTTGGTAGAGTTTGTGGGACTTGGACACACTTTCCAGGTTTGGGACTGGCTGTGGATGCTCACCATGAGGCAGAGGCCTGGGTGGCTCCACGTCTTTGGTGGTCAAGCTCTCTCCCGGCACCAGCGAGGGAGCCCAGTGCGATGGATGGATTCAGCTGGCCAAATACGATCCTTCGCACAAGCATCAGCAAGATGCTCTTTTTTAATTGTTGGCTTTATCACCTCACCCTGCAGCGATGGCTTGAGGGCCTCATGTTCAGGAGCCACCTGAAGTACCCCTGGGGCACGTTTTCAAGTCACTGCAGGCAAAATGCTCTTGCAGCGAGGCTTAGCAGAGGAAAAAACAAGCAACCCCACAGCACCACTTACGATGCTGGTTTTATGTGTTTATAAGTAGTTGAGAGGGGGTGATCGCTGATTAAGTACCCAGTATTAACTACTCTTAATCACTGCTCTGGAGTCTAATGGAGCTTTTGTTTGCACATAACCATGCCTCGTAGCTGTCTTTAGCACACTTGACAGATGTGCTTATTGCCATCTTTACTGCATATGCGTAATGGGCTTTTTAATTATTGATTCATCATTGCTCCTTTATAAACTACTTATAAATGTCAAAAAGAATGAACAATGCTTCTGTTTTTCTTTTTAAATCTCTTTCAGGTTTAAAAAAAGAAACAGCTCCATGAAACAGCATGGCTCGAGGGGCAGGGGGCATTGGACCTCGAAGTGGGGAGGAACAGATAGATACAAATATATGAGAGCCTCCCCAGTTTAACTCAGTCCCCGAGGGCTAGAGATGAAATAGGCTACCTGAGTAGCTTTTGCTGTGCCTCTTCTTCTTCCTCCGTTTCCCAGATGGCCTCTGCTTCTCCCTGTCAGCGTGAGTTTGCCCTGGGGGCAGTGTTGCCGAACAAGAGGAATCGGTGGCTGGCTCTTCCGAGAAGGACTTCTCTTGAGAGGTATCCAACAGTGAGTCTGTACCGGGATCTTCATTCTCCTTTGCCATCTCTTTCGATTCTGCTTGGTGAGCCTCATCGCAGGGAGTGGACTGAGCGCTGCCAGGGTCCACTCCTGTCTCACTCAGCCGGGTTTCTGGCACCTGCACCGAGACGTCAGCTGGGCATTCATTGTCCTGGCCTTCTGAGATGGATCCATTGAGTTGGCCTCTCAGAGCAGTGCCCGAACTGCTGCTTACAAACCTTATCCCTGTGCCCATGTTAGCAGCGGAGAAGGCAATGGAGCTGCTCTTTGTGCTTGGCTGGAGGCTTGCCCAGCTGTCTGCCTGCTCCATCCCAGCACTTGGCATGGGCTGACTGGCCCCATCAACTTCCACCAAGCTTACTGAGGGGCTTTCCGTCCGGGACTCTGGTAGCAAAATTCCTCCAGCATTGTTTTTAGATAAGGCCTGGTTTGAGGCTGGAGCATTTGTAACATCTCCACCCATCTCTCTCAGGGCAGTGGTTGAGGAGGGAGTGCTTTCTGAGGGATGACCATCGTTGTTTTGCTTGGTCTTATCATCGATCTGCTTTCCTGCTGCTTGTGGATCCTTAATGCTCTTTCCTTTAAATAAAAAACATGCCATCAGCTACAGCTGCAGAGTCGCACCTGGAACCAAGGCGTTTCTGCCACTGGGAGAGGTTACAAGCAAGTAGCTGCCTGTGGAGGATGCACTGACCGTAAAGCAGCAATGGAGAGGCAGCACCATTTTATCCTCCCTATACCTTCCCTCCTTACACTCCCTGTGGTTGGACTCCAAGTCTCCAGCTCAGCAAAGCCCCTGTTCTGTTTTCAGCAGGTTATTTATGTGTCTTTGCTGCCAACCAGCTGATTTCCATGGAAGCCCCCGGACTTGCAAGGGTGCCTGAAAGCCTACAGCAGGAAGAGGGAACCTGCCTGCGAGGTCCTGAACCAAGGTGGGACTGCTGGCTTGGCTGCATGTGGACTTCAAAACTGCCCACCAGCCAGCCTAATCCTGCCCTTGCTGAGCAGGTTTAGGAGAGCCACAGTGCACAGGTCAGGCTCTGTGGTAGGCCAGTGACCTTTGGACTTACCCAATTTGCACTGACACCAAGGTCAAGAGACCAAAGAAAGGCTAAACCCATGGGCTGCCTCCTAACAAGCACCTAAATGACTTGGCTCCTTCTGCAAATAGTTTTCTAATCTTTTTTTAAACGCTTCTTTAGACTCCCAAGTGTAGACCAAGACAGGGCACAGCAATCTCCAAGGCAGTGACAAGTTGTGCTACCGAGACTCGACAGCACGAACGGGACTCCTGTGGGGATGACACCAGTGCCCCATCAGCATGGTTCTGCGGCTGACCCGTGGGCCGTGCCTCTCAGAGGGTTTATCAGCATGGGTGCAAGGCTGCGCTGCTCCAAATTGTTACCAATTCCGGGGCAGACCTGGCCGGCAAGAGCTCAGGGCTCTCTGCTCCTCATCTCCACAGCACTGGCTGCAGAGCGTCCTATAAATAAAATGCCCCAAATGCAAACATGAAAGCTTCTTGCTTGTGTGCTTGGCTCAGGCTGAGGGGCAGATGGGAATGAATAGCTGAGGTACAGTCGCTCCGTGTCCTTACCAGACTGGCTCCCCTCCGGGCTCTCCGCAGGCGAGGTTTTAGGAATTGCATCCGACTCGTATCTGTTCTTTGTCTTTCTCAGCGTGAACCCTTTTCTGATGTCGGCCAGCAGCGCATCAATGATGCACACCTCCTCCTGCTTCACCACCCCCTTCTTAACTGGGATAGAGAGAGACAGGTTTTAAATCTGCCCATGAGATGGGGCAGAAGGACGCTTTACAGTGATGCTGTTGCTTGGGGCAGGTGTGGATGTCGCGATACGAGCAACCACTGGGCAAAAGCAAGGCCTGGGAGTGGCCCGTGCTCCGTGCCCCTGCAGCAGCGTGTCCTGGCTGAAGCCAGAGGGTCTCCCCAAAAGCCTGGGTGCCACAGGCTGGCACCACTGGCACTGGCTCTGCCCGTCCTTGTGCCTGGTTGCACCAAGACCTTAGAAGACCTCCTGTTTGCTAGCCGTGTTGGGGGCAGGGGGGCGGAGGGAAAATGATGCTGATTTTTCTTCCTTTCAGCTTCTTCCAATTGTACTTTTCAGTCGTGCCTTTTGTTTTCATCCAGAGAAAAGCAGATTTAAGTTATCTGCAAGATTTTTGGGATGTCAGTAGTCTCTGGTAAAGAGAGACTATTCAACTGCATATGGGGATTTTGGCGGGGAGAGAAGTCAACTGTTTCTCATTAGATTTGGGATTCAAAAGTTATGTTTAGAAACTGAAAAAATTAACTGAAATGTTTCAATTTGATTTTTTTTTTCTCCGCTGCTCAGTCAGCACACCTAAAATTAACTTCTCTGCCCAGCTGCAACTGTGAAAAGTCAATTCTCAGCTATGGCTATAGGACACCTAAAAGCCTTTAGTCAGCCAGCACTTGGAAATCCACAAAATAAATTACTACTGGTCCATTAAAGCAGGACCAGCAAAAAGCTCCTGTCAGCTCTCCGAGCCAATTTGGGATTGCAAGTCCATCTCTCTTTCTTGAAGCCCTTTCAGATACTCACTGACTTTTCCATTTTCTCCCTTCTGTCTCTTCCCCTCTTCCTCTTCCAGCTGTTTCTTTCTCTTCTCTGCTTTGGCAGCTTGCTCCTTTCTGTCCTTGTTTTCCTGCAGTGAGGCAGCGGGACATAAGAAGGTTGGCTAAGTGTCTGCTGGAAAAGTCAGTGAAGGGAAAGATGATCTGCAGGTAGTTGCAAAAGGAGGAAGAGAAACTCTGGCCTTATCCTGTGCAATAAATAAAATGGGCAGCAAGGGCTGTCTTGCCAAGAGGGTGAGCGGAACACCACTACATACCAGTAGGAGGTGGCAGCAGTGATCTGCCTAACACAGCTACCTACCAGCATGCAGATCTTCTGCCTGACCTTCAGCTGAGGCAAAAGTGGAAGGTGCTGAAGCCACAATTTCCTCTTAATTGGTGGCTTTTTTACTATACATCCCCTTCCTGAGCCTGTTTGCTCAGGATGGAGTGAAGGGTTAAATTTTGTAAGCCCGTTCCTCTAAAGCTTACACATTTGGCTCCAAAGCATCTTTGTGACTCTGCAGCTAAAGCTGCACTGAAATCACAAATCACCAGGGCCTGGGCCAAGCCAGGAGCACCAGCACCACGTGAGGATGCAGTGGAGCAGGGATCAGACACCCCTTCTCCAGGTGACCTCGCGCCAAGTGCTGAAAAGAGGAGGCTGTAACCAACATCTTCCCCCCCACCAGATGGGTGCCTGTCCCACCCCCGTCTGTCGGAGCAGAGGCATGCACCAGCACTAGGGATGCTCAGCGTCATGTGTGTGGACGCCAACCTTCAGGGCTCGGATGAAGAGATCTCTGAAGGTCTTCATGGTGCTAAATATGTCCTCTAAGGACAATTTGCTTGGGTCTTCGCAGAGATAATTTGCAAGTTCTTCTCTCTTCCTCTCAATGGTTTCAAATTCTTCTTCCAGTTTTCTGGAGGCATCAATGCTATCCTGAAATGCATTTAATATACACAGTAAAACACCATCCAGAGGACAATGAGTGAAGTGCACTTAAAGAAAAAAGGATGTCAACATAACAGCTTCGAGCAGGGCCCTGGAGCCCTGGCCTTTAACTCCAGCAGAGCTTATGTGGTGGGAAGAAACTGAAATTTGCAGATGATCTTTGCTCCTGGTGACTGGGCTATTGCCAGTTTACAGGGGTGGCTTGAGCAAGACATGGAAAGCTCAAGGCAAAGCTTAATCCCAAGAGAAGGAGTTTACACTGGTGATCCAGACTGAGGGTGAACATGTTCACTCAACACAACAGAAGGGTGAGAGCAGTTGGGGCGGGGACTATAGGTTTCTAGGTTTGGGGTGGAGGTGGCAAATAAACACTGATGGGTTGTGTGACATCACAGCATATTTCCAAATCTGAGAGCATATCTTGCAGCAATATTCTCCACCCTCTCATGAGCCTCCTCAGCTGCATACGTACCACGCATTGCCTCTGTGTGTGTAATAGGGGAGATATAAGGGAGCTCCATTACTGACCTGAATAGGTTTCTCATACTGTTGTTTCACATCATCGTTTGACGATAAGACCTTCCGCTGAAGCTCCAGCAACTTCTTTAAATTGGTACTGGACTCCGTGCGTATAATATCAAGATTAATTCTGAAATCACACAGAACTCCCCCATTAGTTGACACTCCAGCATCCTGCACTGACCAAAGAGTGGACAAGTCTGAGCCAGTGGTTTGGTTGTCCCTCTGTTGCCACCACTTCACTGACCTGAAACCTGAGCTCTGAAATCTCTGTACAGTCCGAGCTCATGGAAAACAGCCTTCCTCCACAGCACTCAGGAAAAGGCTGCCAGCTCTACCTACAACTTTGAGTAGATGAATGCCCCCATAAAAGTCCACCCATTCAAAGGGCTGTTCTCCACCCTCAGAGGTCAGTATTAGCTCACTTTCCCTGGTTGAAGGCACTTCAGAAATGCTTCTGAGTAGCTGGTCTTCACAAGCTCCTGCTACCATAAAGGCAGTACAGATTTTGGAAGGGCCTGGGAGGCAGCATTAGCTGAATGCTCTGCAAATTTCAGCCCTAAGTGTTTCCAGCTGTAGTAGAACTATTATATATTAAAGGGGCTTCAACAGTCATCAACCAAGTATTTTGGTCAAAACTAAATAAGATGCCATCTTGTTAATGTGCTATACCAGCTGCGTGTGTCCTAACTTCTGGTACACTACTGATGTGTATGGGATTTATCTTTGTTTTTAATTCAAAGGAAGTGACACACAATTTTACCCTGCTGCTTTTGAAACATATTCGAGATCCTTTGGCAATTCCAGTAGGTCCGTGTGGCTGTTTTCTACCTCCTAAAGCGGAAGAAAGAAGGAAGTGTTATTTGCTGTGTGGCAGGAGCTGAGAGAGGAAGCTGGGAGGAAGAGGCACGGGCAGAAGTGCCTGGGAAAGACGACTGCGCCGTGTCCTGCTGCTGCCCCCCCCTCTGCAGTTTGCTTTGCCTTGCAGAGCCGAGCCACATTCAAAACAGGACGGCACGTTCAGAGAGGAAAGGCGTTGCTCCCAGGCTATGAAAACATACAGGAGCGCTGAACGTTGAGAAATACTCATAGTTCAAAGCAAAGCTGACCTGCCACTAAGCTCTTCTACTCTCTGCTGAGACACCTACTTGACGATGGGAGGAGGCAGGACTGTGGTTTGACGCAGATGCAGACTGACACTTCCTGTGGTCCCAGGAGGGTATCAAAAGGGCTTGAATCTTATTTGCATAATTTACTCTCATGGCTGTGCTTGCTGAAGCTACTGCCAGCTAAAGCAGGCTTGAACATGCATAACTAGTATGGAGGAACCTTGATGAATGGAGATGGCTGAGAAGACCATGAAGAAAAAAGGAAAAAACAGCATTGCAGGGAATAAGAGAGCCATGGGGGCTTGGATAGGAATGTGAAAAGCTTAAGCATAGTCTGGTGGAAAAGGGAGAGGCTGGGGAAAGGCAGAAAGGCTGAATGGGTACAGACCAGCCAGGACAGCTTTGGTAGACATGTGCTCTGTGGTTTGCAGCTGATCATGTATAGATTACACAAATATGAAAAAGGAAGTTCCAGCCATTGCAGGGAAAGACGCTGGACGAAAGCAGAACAAATCTTAAAATAAGGAGCTGCCTGAGTAGTTCTAACAAGCAGCCTCCAAAAGCCTAAGAGATTTGAACACTCCCAACTTGTGACACTCTGCAGCTAGCCAGGGAGGATACGAATACCAGCGTGCGGCATTAACTGAAAGTAGAGTAGGAGAAATTGTTCACCCGTGATAAAATCCTCCCCCTTCCCTATTGCCCAAGACTTTGCAGTGGTACCTCCAGAATATGGTGGAGCAGCGTAATGCGGGTTTGGTTTGCTTTGGTTTCTGTTAGTTTGAGTAAAGTGCTGATTTTAAACCCGTCGGCATCACCCGTGTGACTTCCCTACAAGACAGAAAGAAAGCAGATGTAACTCCTGCGTCCACCCAAATTACAACCCTAAAGGAGATCATCCACATACTGTAATGGGGGGAGGACAAGACAAAAGAAGTCCTTACATAGTTCAGAAAGTTTCCAACTTTGAGAATTAGTTGACAAAAGAGTGGCAGGCGATGACTGTTCAGAAGATCTGAAAAACATAAAGGACTTTTAAACTAAAGCCTCTGTTAAACTAGAATATTTCCTAAACTGAAATGGGGATTCTGAATTCCACCAAACCAAATATGATATTTCAGCTTTGCAGTCCAACAGCCCAACCTCCAGAGAAACTGATTCTACATAGATTCAATTCCACAAGTTGTAAAAGTTTTTGTTGACTTACGTTTCTTTCTTTTTTTACACCTGGTCTCTCATTCCTAATGGACAATAACATGGAGTTGGACCCTCGTTACTAACAGCCATCCACTCGCTGCCTTCCTTGGAAGTACCCTGAGTTACCCTGGTGTTGGTGAGGGTAATTGGGCTGCAATTTTAATTTTGCAGACTCTGTTCAGCTGTGCTGTGAAGCTAGATTGACAGCACTGTGACTGTCTGCCAGCTGCTAAAACCAGATAACGCTTGCCCTGTTCTTGGTCTCGTGTGGTGGAGGTGATTATCAGGGCATGAAGGGTACAGTCCCTGTCCTTGCTTTTAAGACAGGGTGCTGCAGTGGTATGGTCTCTGAAGCTCTGAGGCGGGAACAGCTCCAAAAGGACAACTGGGCTTCAGGGAAGACACTTTTTGGGGGAAGCTTCAATTTATCCCAGCAGGCAGCTGTAATGCCAGCTGGAGAAACCCCCGGCACGAGTTAGGGGAAACGGCTCTGTAGGACAGGCGGCACTTGCCAGTGCCAAGAAGAGCATCCTGCTCTCAGCGGAGTGAGACTCGGGGTTTCTGCCACAAAACCTATTGCATAATCTCTCTGTGCACTCAGACAATTGGAGCATCAGCAACTTACAGCCCACCATAACAAACTTTTTCTTCTGCTTTCATTTGTAGGCAGAGAAAAACTAAAGCATCACTACTTTCTGGGGGAATTTTGGGGTGTGCTTTTCTGGCAGCAGAGAAAATTGTTGTGTGAAGGTCTTAACATGGCAAATAATGCTGGATGAATTAGCTGTAACAGGGCCAGCTCCGCTGTCTAAATTCAGCTCCTTTGAAAGGGCTGACGAGCTTGCAACACTTCACTGTTTAAAGTATTTCAGAGGAATACATATGCTGCAGAAGAAGAGGGCTGAGGGTGAGGGAAAAGGATCTGTGGTCCTGTTAAGGGCTTTGACCATCTGTGGAGATGCCTCCATAGCTGCAGATAAAGCTGCATCCTGTATTCTGCAGTGAACCAGTGAATGGACTGTGTTGAGGTTTTTTTGGGGCTGGGTAGTATCATTGCAGAGCTCCAGGGGAATTTTGGGGGGTTTAAAGCTTCCTGTCATAAATAAGATCCAGAAATAAGGTCAGGTCATTCACCTTCGCAGGCTCTTCGGATGGCTTCAGCTTTCGGCTGAATCATGTCCAGCACAACGGTGGTCTCTTCACAGATCAGCATGCATTCAATGCGCAGCTGGTAGCTAGGGACGGAGAGTGATCCAAAGCTTAAAGGCACTGTGATCTTGGCCAGCACAGCCGCCCTCTTCCCACATCACCAGTAAGTCTGGCAACCCCACAACATCACTGTCAACCACATCCACATCAAAACAGTGTCTGTGGCTGGTGCGGGAGGCGAGGTGCTGCCACTTGACTTGGGGACCAGTGGGGATGTACTTTCTGCCGATGCACTGTGATCAGCAAAGAGAAGACTGACCACCATGCGAGATATGGGTTCCCCCTTCTTGGCATTGCATTTGGCACTGCCTTTCAATAAGTTACGCGGCTTCCTTGGGCAGGGCTGACCCTGGGTCTGGGCCAGCTTCTGCTACTTCAGAGGGACAGCAACAGCCCTTCATCTAAGGGTAATGGGGAAAGGGATGGCTCTAAGGTGGAAGGGGGACTCCACCAGCTATGTCCATCAGTATCTGCCTGTGAGGCTCGTATAAAGAAACTTAAAACTTCCCAGGAGTAAACCCAGAAAAAGACTGGGCTGAAGTTCCTGACCAACACCCTTACCTGGGAATCTGAAGGAGGAGAAGATAAAACTGATCTGCATTTGCAAGCTTTGATTTCTCTTCTTTGAAGGACTTCAGGTTTTCTATCTAATGAGAAATAAAGAATCAAGACTGCAGGACTGCACTGCGTGTTCAGCTCTGTGAACTAAGGGTACCCTTTTTCCTCCTGACCTCATGCTTTTCAGGCAGCAGCTTCAACAACTGCTTTAGAACCTCAACGTCGAACTTGGTCCGGTCCCCATTCTGGACCATGGCAGCCACCTCTTCATTGGAGCTGCAGGGAGGAGGAGCAGAGTCAGCTGTCACCCAAAGACCCCTCTTCCACAATCACACGCTACCGAGACATGTACCTCTGCAAGCGTTCCGTGCTTTCCGTAGTGAGAACCATAATAATCCAAATGGAAAGATATGTCCCCATGATTAACTTAGAATTTGGACCTGGATCCCTGCTATCCCTTTTCTTTCTGACCCTGGTCAAATGACTCAAGGCCAGAGATCAATCCTGCAGCTCAGATCTCTGCCTTTGGGCATTTGATTATGTTAAAAGAAAGTTGAATTCTTAACTTCTCCATTGGCCCTGTTTTGAGGAGAGATTTTACCTTCAGAGGTGTCTCACAGCCTAAGTCACCCTTAGAGTCTGCGCCACAACTTTATCTGTAACATTGAGATGTAACGCCTTTGCCAACGCATGGAGATGTTGTATATAAAAACAAAATTAAACCCCTAAACTCAGTATTTTAAAGACAGGGTAGGACAAACTGGGAAATGTTTAGATGTTTCAGTAACACAAACATCAAAGCACATTGGCTAGAGGACCTTTCAGATACTATGCAAAACCTGCTCAGAGTTTTGTCAGCTGTCAGGAAAATTGCCCATATCTTACCATTTAAATTGCTTCAAAAATATGTTCAAATTGAGACTTTTCTTGGAGTCCAAAAATGTGATCTTCATTAAAGAAAAAGAAGATATCTCATATTAGATGAGCTGTCTGCAGTGATCTTTATTCAAAAGAATGAGAGGGACCTCCTCACCTCCTTTGGTTCCGCCTTCATTGGTGCGGCCGTTTTCTCCTTGGGGGTTGTTTGTGGAAAGCAAAACAGCTGCTCTATACTTGTGTAATTGGGCTCTATAGTTTCCTCGCTGCTGCTGCTCACTGAAGCCCACATTGAGTGACTTTCTGAAAAAAGACAAAGTGTTCAGACTGGCTACAGGGACAGCTGAAAGGCTTTCAGCGCAACGTGAGTTGCCAGAAGGGACACTTCTCAGAAGATGAATGAAATAAGAAGAGACATATTAGTTCTGGACAAATGCTAATTACTGAAGAAGGGCAAGTCCCACAGGCAGGATCCAAAGGGCCTGAAGGATAATTAAACCTGGTGCTTTACACCAGCAAGATGTGCTGGTGAAGGAATGCAGCACTGGGCACACATAGGCTCTTACAGCCCCATCCCTCCCTATACAACTGCATTCTCCTCCACGGTAGAGAAACCGGAGCAGCACGAGAAGGACCTTGGCCATTTCTTTTCTAGTCCCATGGCTGATGTTATTTTTGCTTCCTTGCATGCCAGCTGAGGGATTGGCCACAACCTGGATATTTTCTGACTGTGGCCTTCCTCCATTTTTCATTTTATAACCAAGCCTTCTTGTATAATGCTGGCTATAGGACTGCTTGAATTAATTCCCACTGCCCTATCTTAAAAATCTTTTTAGTAAAAACAAATCACCCAAACACGCCTGTAGAAGTCTTTACTGAAATAAACAAAATAATTAACTGCTCCTGTGGCTGAAAACACGCCTTATTTAGACTTCAGCTATGCCAACTTCCTGCAGTGGATGCCTTGCTTGTCTAGGACGAAGCTGACATTGCCTGTCCTGGCTTCTCCTCACATTTCATGCTCTTCTTTGGATCCACTAGGAGAGGGAAATGTAACCCAAAAATCAAGAGACAAGTCAATGATTCTCATGGCTCTCCAGTTCTTTCAATGTCCTTCTTGAACTGTGAGGTCATCCTTGCCTGCAGTCTTACTCACAACTTTAATATGCCCAGATACAAGTATAGATGAACTGGTGAACAAAAGTCTGGGGAATCCAGACCAGAGCCTGTTGAGAACTCAAGCCTAAGGCAAGTCATGGTGAATTAGGGAAATATTCCCATCCCTCTCCCTTCTTTTACTTTCAAATTATTTTATTATAAATATGCTATTCCAAACTACTGATTCAGTTGGAATGGTTATCATATCATATCATATCATATCATATCATATCATATATCATATCATATCATATATCATATAATATCATATCATATCAGTAGTTTGAGGCTACTTTTATTTATTTAAGCTCTGCAGGTCAGATGTAATGCAAATCAGGGAAGTTCTGTATCTAAATGGAGTCAACACATTTGACAAACTCAAAAATAGTGTTTTCTCCCCTGGGTCACCCCTAAAGCAGCACTGACTTTATGCCAGAAGCACCCACCTCTCACCACATTGGAGGGCAGCTTCTGCCAGTTCAGCTTCTTCATTCTCAATGTTGGCGTCTTCACTGTCTTGGGAGGAGGCCTGCCCAAGCCAAGAGGGCAGCTGAATTGGGAGACCACCACAGCTTCTACGTGATCTCCTGCCATGCTGGGCAGGAGGGGTGCAGGGGGAGGGATGCCACCCATGCCAGGCAAGGGGGGTGGGGGTGGAGGGATGCCACCCATGCCAGGCAATGGGGGTGGAGGG